CTTAAAAACAACCAAAAAGGAGAAGGCATCAGTACTACACTGGCTTAATTCAGTCACTTATTAACAGTATGCAAAGGAACAAAATAAACAGTAGAAACCAAGTCATCCTGGCCACTGTCCATTAGTTAGAAAACGTGAAATAGTAGTGTGGTGGGTGTCTCCAGGTAGTCAGTACCACCTTAGAGATGAAAAACTCCCCCTCAGGCTCACGGCTGTCGAGTCGAAACCGGCGAGTAACAGACCCTCCTGCGGGTTTCCAAAGCTCTAAAGCGCATGGGAGGAGACTGCCCATCTTTTTCCTCAAACTGCTGGTGGATCTGAACTGCCAGAGGCAGCCTCTCCCCTACAGATCAGGTTACCTGAGGTCCCTTTAGAAACAGTGTCTCAGGAAATATTAATTTTCTAATAAAAGCATAATTATGCAAGAGGAAGAACATCATAAACTTCCTAGGAAGACACCCTTTGGTGAGGGAGTGGACTGCTCTCATTTTAATATCCTGAGGAAACCAGACCAATATGAGCTTTCTGCTGCTTTATTAAGAAAAGACAGGTTTATAATGAACACTAGATGACAAAGGGTCAAAGTCAATATTTAGATAAACAATTCCTGCTGTGAGTGAGCTTCTCGGGCCCGTAGAGTTCACGAGGACTCATACAGTTTTTTGCCCTATCTTATATACGGACAAAAAGAATGCACAGAAGCATCTTTCAGATTCTGTCATCCTGAATTGCAATACTGAAAGTGTTGTGATTGCATCATTTCATATCCCCAGCAAAGACAGGCAGGAGCCAAGGAGACCAAAACCATGGTGGGAACTGCGGACGTGCTTTACTCATGACTATAACCATTAGGAAGGGGGGGTGTGGGGTGTGGAGGGAATCACAAGCCATAACTGCCGTCTAGGAGACTCTTTCCAATTACCTTTGGGTTATTCTAGGACTCCCCGATGCCAGCCCTGGAAAAACTCAGGGTTAGCTATTCCTATATTCCATGACAAAGGGTCACAGGGCAGGTTTCTCTACAGCAGCAATACTGACATTTTGGGCTGCATCATTCTCTGCCGAGGTAGGGACACGTGCGAACTGCCAGATGTTAAACAGCTTCCCTGGCCTCTACCCACATCCCAGCAACCACCCAACTCACATGCCGTCTCGCTCCACAGAACACATTTCCTTAAGACAGTAAAAGTGTGACAGGCACAGCTTTATTTTCTTTTTTCTTTTCACCTATAATATTCTGACTAATCTGACCTGAAGTTTGAGAATACCAAATAATTTGCTGTAAAAGAAGATGGTAATCTCATTTCTCCCCACCCACCACCCACCCTTTGTTGTGTACTGTAAAATCAGATCCTAACCGGCACAGGAAAAGATTGCCCCTCCTTCTCCAGCATAGATTCTGGTGGATTTGAACCAAATGCTTTTGGGATTGCATCATAGCTTCTTACAGCTAGGCCACCAGAGCTCCCTGGTAATCTCATTTCCATAAACTAACATATTTTTTTTTATCTTATGAGTTTTGAATCATTTCACAATGATTTTTTTCTCCTTCTTAAAAGAAAACTATGGGTTGTTTTTTCTTCTTAAACAATGCCTATTTATTTTGCTGATTAATTGATAATCTGTTTCTATTTTCTGCTCCATTTTTAAGACTTATTTTTCACTTCATTAGATTATTGATGAGGGCTTTTTTCACCAGACAGAAAGAAGGCTGCTAACAGAAAAGCTACAAGTTCAAAGACACCAGCCTCTCTGTAGGCTCCTCTGGTAAAAGACATATACCCTCAGAAAACTCAATGGAGGGTCAACCAGGAGTCAGAAAGGATTAAGCAGTGTATTTCATTTGTGCTGTTTAGGTTTTTCCCCACTAAGCATAAGTGACTCTTTCACACTTTTCCTTTTAAACAAAATCTTTATTCAATACTAGTTTATTTATAAAGTTTGTATACATTATCTTTTTTTAATATTTTAATGAAAGTTTATAAGGAACTTGGACCTTCATTCATTCATTGTTGCATTCCTCCCTGGCCCCCCCTGCCCCCAGTTCGTTGTTGTTTTTTTTTCCCTTTGGAATAAAAGTTCTTCCATTGTTATACAGCAACCCCACACACACACTTTACTATGCATCTCTTATTCTGGACTCTTATCATGCCAACAATACCTAATAAAAGTTCCTTTTATACAGTTCTCTCCCACATCTGTTTCAGTGCCTCTTCTTTGTTTAAACTATCAGAGCTGACACTTCTGTAGACTTTCAGAAGGTATGTATATATTGCACAGGAGACTGTCCATCTTCCTAGCTCAGACCAGCTGGGGGATTCAAACAGCCTACCTTTGGGGTGGCAGTTCAACTCTTCCCCCAGTAAGCCACCTAACCCCACAGTAACAACTGAAAGTGTCCTGAATATTGCCATGTGTATAAATAGTCACTACAAGATACAGTACAAAGTACTGCATTTAGGTGGTTCCACCCCAATGTCATGGCCTCTTCTCCATGACAACTACTCCCAACAGCCCATAAACTCCTCGCCCACCTAGGGACATCTCCACACGGAGTCCTACTCGGATCCTTTAAATTCTGTTTTTGACTCCAGTTCAAATAAGATGCAAATCACCTCTCTGTATACAGTAAAATAGTATCCTATTTTCTGTTTCAATGAAAATACTGTTGGCGTCAAAGCAAGACGGACTCCTTGTCTTTGGGAGCAGAAAGGTACAAATGAGAAATAAACTGTGCTTTGATAATAACGTCTAAGGCACAGAGGGGATTATTCATCTCAGGTACCCTCATGAATGAAACATGTCATAAACTAATAACTCATCTATATTCCTAAGTGGGTCTGCAACCAGAGGTCAGCACAAGAGTGTGATGTGCCGTGTAATAACTTGGGGAGGGGGGGTCTAGAAGAGATGAACTCAGACATGTGTCCTAAATTATCAATTAATTACTGTGTAGCTAGATTAGTATTTCTTCTGGGAGTGATAAAAATATCCTGAAATAATATAATATGAACAAGGGCGAGAACATAAAAGAGGTATGTGGAGAAGATGTGCCTTTTCCAGGAAACACAGTTTAATACGCATATATCATATATAAATATTGTTTTTTTAATTTCTCTTCCTACGGGTGAAATGCATGGTTTTTCCTTCATCAAGAACTATTATTTTCTCCTGGAGGGAGAGGAAGTCGTATGGAATGAGAAACCACAAATCTAAAGAAAATAACCTGAGAAAATTAAATTATAAGTCCTATCAAATGAGACTATCTGTACATAAAGTGAACAACACAATCAATGTTTTATCGGAACATACTGTTCTTTCATAAAGAACTTTTCTTAAATTCACCAAGGTACTTTCCCAGGTTCAAGTTTTATGGTAAATTGTGATGGTGGAGTCATTCAGAGATTTTTTTAGGAACTGAAGGAAATTTATTCTTAAATAGAAACCTGAATTCATAATTAGACAACGCCTCACTCCAAAGAATATGTTTCCTTAAGACCAACTATTTTAAAAAGCTACTAAGACAGTAATCAAAGTTTGACAGGTACAGCATTTCTCTTTTTCTGCATTCCACCTAAACTGTCCTGATTAATCTGGCCTGAAGTTTAAGAATACTGAGTAACTATAAAACTGTAAAACATGATAATGTCATTTCAATACAGTAAATAAAATGTTTTTAACTTTTGAATTTTGAATCACCTGGCAATTCTTTTTCCTCTTATTAAAATAAAACCATGTTTAAACTATCCTTTACCAAAAAGAGGCTGCACACCAGCCACTTCTCATACATGATATCAATTTTTATTACATGATCAGTCTGTTTGGCTACATTTCATCATTGAAGAAATCAGTGCATTTGAAAGCACATGACAGCCAAGCGCCTGTATTAGCTTCTACGATCCGCTGCATTCTGACAGGATGACAGTCTATGAAGCAAAACGGAGAGGCTTAGGCTGCAGAAGAGAACAACCTGTACACAAGAGTGTAAGGAGATCCTTAGCGTCCTACACCAGACCATACTATCTCCTATTCTGTTGTCTTTACTGTCTAACATTTCTTTTTTTATTTAAAAAACAAAAAAAACAAGCCACTGCTCTCCTCCTATACTCCCACTCACAAAACTCTCACACATGGTTTCACGTTGACCTCACGGATGGTGGTTTCGTGGCAGAAAACTCCAGTATTATACTGGCTCACATACAGAGACTTCTGGTAAATTATTTTAGTTGGTTTAATTAAAAAAAAAAAAGTCAATACTTGAACTTCAACGAATGACATTTTTTATGTGATAATATTCAAGGTCATTCTAGCTTCAGATCCTTCAACATAAATATATACTGTTGGTCTATCTGTACCGCACGTCACTGAGTCAGAAGCAACTTACAGCTGACTCTCCAGAGGGTTTTCAGAGTGAGCTAATCACACTGCAGCAAATTACTTCTCCCCCCCCCACCCCATTTTTTTCCTGCATTACTAATCATATCCAGAAAAACCAAACCTCCTGTCATCAGATCAAGTTCAACTCTCAGTCATCACACAGGAGAACTACCTCTTAGGGTTTCCAAGGTCATCATCTTCACAGCATCAGAGTGCCACTTCCTTCTCCCCCAGAGCACCTGGCTTGTTCAAACTACCACTCTGTTCACAGCTGAGTACTTAAACACTGCACCACAGAAATCATCCTTGATTAGGTGAAAATAAGTTAGCACTGTAATTAATAAGGCGAACTATTTTTATGAAAAATTTTCACTCAGAAATATTAATTCTGGTTTGAAAGGGAATTTCAACATCAAACCCTTTCACCAAAAATATCTTTCTATAGGTGACATTTAAGAATGATAAAAACTATCAAAGCCAGGCTCTTTTGATTGCAAAGGTCAAAACATTTCTCCTTCCTCTGAAAACCTGCTGTGCTATTAAAGTTCTTCACACAAATTGCTCACGTCCCAGTCAAGTGCTGCATAATGAAAAATCGGTTTTTTTTTATTTTTACATCTTACCTTCAGATAGGATCCATAATATTTGGTTACATATGGACTGTCACACTGACTCAGCACTGTGATTTCTTGTTGAATGTCCTCTATCTCATCTTCAGCTTCTTCCAGATCAATGATTTTGATGGCAACCACCTTCTGAGTCCGATTGTCAATGCCTTTGAACACCTCACCAAAAGAGCCCTTTCCAATCTTCTCCAGCTTTGTAAAAAGCTCCTCTGGGTCTGCTTTCAGGTTCTGCAGGAGAGAGGGAAATGAAAGGGAACATTAATAACAGCACTCTTGACTTCTTTTTTTGTTTTATTTATAACATTATGAACCACAGTCTTGCAAAGACTGCTCTGATTTTTCCCCCCCTTCATTTAAGAAGCAGCCCTAGATGAAATGGGCAGATTCTTAGAAGCCTACCCAAAATGGTTCAAGAGGAAAGAGAACGTTTCAACAGACTCCTAAGAAGTGGCGACATTAAAGTCGGTCATCAAAATCTTCTCAACAACAGAAAGTCCTAGATCACTGGGCTTCACTGGGAAGTTCCACCAAACATTCAGAGAAGAACAGATGCTGACACAGTTTAAACTTTTCTTTCTTTCTTTCTTTTTTTCTACTTTCTTTATTTTATTATTTTTTGTGTGTACCGTCAAATTGGATGTGACTGGTACAGGAGGAGATTGTCCCTCCTTTTCCAGAACAGCATCTGGTGGATTCGAACCGTGCACCCCTGGGATTGCAGTGCAGCTTCTTGCAACTAGGCCACCAGAGCTCCCTTACAGTTTAAACTTTACTAAAATATAGACAAGAAAAGAATATTCCCTAGTTTGGGAAGTAAATATAAGCCCGATCCCCATACCAGACAAAGATACCACAAGAAAACAACAGACCACTATCTCTTAAGAAAACACATGCAAATGTCCTCAACTTTCATGGGCTTTTTTGTTCTGTCTTTTTACCACCCAAGAGAATCCTGAAGCATATTAAAATGACCCCTGTGGGATTCCCACTGATCATTTCTTCAACTGGGATTTATTGCAGAAATGCTGAGATGGTTAAACATTTTTGTTGTTGTGTATCATCCAATCAGAACCAGCATAGCTAACTCTCCAGCAGATTTTAAGAAGCTATAACTTCAATATGGATTGAAGTTCAACATCAAAAAAACAATGATTCTCACCACTGGGCCGACTGGCAGCATCATTATGGATGGTGAACAGATTGAGATTGTTAACCGTTTTAGTTTGCATGGTACCACAATCAACACTCTTGGCACCAGCAGCCAGGAAACCAAGAGATTGGAAATCAATTGGAAAGTCAGCTGTCAGAGACCTCTCCAGAATATTGAAGAGCAACAATGTCAGTCTGAAAACTAAGGTACACCTGATCCAAGCCATAGTTTTCGTAATTGCTTGCTATGCATCAGAGAGCTGGACAATGACTAGGGATGGTACAAAAAGAATTGATGCCTTTGAGTTGTAGTGCTAAAGCAGAGTGATGAATAGACCATGGATTATTTAGAAGAACAAACAGGTTCGTCTTAGAGAAGGTGAAACCAGGCTGCTCCTTGGCGGCAAGGATTCTAAAGCTTCCTGATATACTTTGGTTATATTACAAGGAGGGACTGGTCTCTGGAGAGGGACGTCATGCTTAGGAGAGTGGAGGGACAGCAGAGGAGAGGAAGACCCTTGATGAGATGGATTGATTCAGTGACTGGGGAACTGGGTATAGGTGTGTCAGAGACAATAAGGTTGGCACAGGCTAGAGCAGCTTTTAGGGCAATTTGTACATAGGGTCGCTGTGAGTCAAAAGTCACTCAATGGCACATAACAACAAAACAACAACATGACTCAAATGGGAGAAGATGGGGTCAAAAAACTTGCAAGAAGCTATTCAAATGGTAACAAATGTTCTTTATCCACCTATAGCAACAGAGGAAGAAAGAGGGGGAACAGGAGGAGGTATTTAAGGTGTGGCTAAAGGCCTCCTTTGCCAGGAGACTAGTCCATGAGATGAAGCCTAGCTAACATTACTGAACATTCTGATCAGAAGAACGCTATCAAAAAGGGGAAACTAAAGAAAAGTATTTCAAATTCTTACAGACTTCAAGACTTTCTAGAACCATGAAGGGGAGAAGATCCCCTAAAAGGAATGTCAGGCATAGCTGCTAAAGTTTCTGCTAAAAGTACAGCCTGAAGCCATCTTCCCAACAGCACAGCCCTGAGAGAGGTGCACTACTAACCAGAAGCTTTGGTGGTTCAAATCTACCCGAAGCTCCACAGGAAGAAGATGGGCAATCTCCTCCTCTGTGAATTATAGCCTCTGAAAACCCACCAGAGGGTCAGCTATGAGCGGGGTTTCAACATAATGGTAACGAGGAGAGCAGCAGGAAAAGGAAAGCAATGAAGTGATCTTAAAACGGAACCTACAACCAGGAGAGGATAAAATAGATGAATGGGACCTTTTAACAATCAAATCCCTACGCACATTCAAAAATTCATTCAACTGGGTAAAAAAGGGAAGCCACAGATTGGGGAAAAAGTATTTGGTAATGACATGTCTGATAACTGGAATTTATAGAATACTTGAGCATCAAAACATGATAAAAGTAAACAACCCAGCTGCAAAATGGGCACAGGATATGAACAGACACTTCACCAAAAAAGACATTCAGATGGCAAACACACACATGAAGAAATGTTCTAAATCCTTAGCTCTAAGAAAATCAAAACAACTATAAGATATCCTCTCACTCCAGTAACAATAGCAAAATTTAACAGAGCAGCAAACAACAAATGCTGGCCTAGGGTATAGAGAAACTGGAACCCTTATTCACCGTTGGTGGAGTATAAAATGGTGCAACCACTGTGGAAGGCGGTATGGCGCTTTCTCAAAATGTTGCAAAATAGAGATACCATTTGACCCAGCAATTCCACTACTGGGAATATATCCTAAAGAGACCATAACCGACGACATCCAATCAGATATATGCACATCCATGTTTATCGCCACCGCTTTGTTCACAATAGCAAAGAGTTGGAAACAACCTCAAGTGTCCATCAACAACCAAATGGATACAGAAGCTGTGGGATAGTCACACAACAAAGAGAATACTATGCAGGTGACAAAAAAAAAAGGAACTCATGAAATATTGGTCAAAGTGGGTGACCTGGAAGACATTATACCGAGTGAAAAATATCTCAGTCACAAAAGGACAAATACCGCACAGTGCCACTGTTGTAAAATGGGACTGACATGGGGGTTGGCGAAAACTAAGAGGGGATAGATAATGTACATGGCATTCAAACAGCCGAAGGAGAGAACTGTATAAAAGAAATATATTAGGTATTATTGGCATGACAAGAGTCCAGAATAAGAGTTGCATAGTAAAGTAGACTTGGGGTGGGGGGACACTGTATAACAATGAAAGAATTCTTTCCCCAAAGAAAAAAGCAAACTGGGGGGAGGAAAACGTACAACAACGAATGAATGAAAATCCAAGTTCTCTATAAACTTTAATTACAATTTCAATAATACTTTTTTTAAAAAAAAACCGGAATGACAGTTTTGGTGTGTTTTTTAAACAACAGTTTTAACTCACTAATGGGAAAGGCTTGCCTTAAGCATCATGGTCTTTTAAAAACCATCCATGTGGGTGGGATCAAAGAGACACCAGCCGCCTGAACTTTAGGGGGCAGTGTGTTTTTATTAACGAAGGAGGGTCAGCTAAGAAAAGGAGACTGAGACTAGCTGTACAACCTGAAAAATGTAATCACGGTCACCAAACTGTACACCTGTAAACCACTGAATTAGTATATGCTTGGTCATGTGTATTTTCAATAATACAATTAAAAATATTTAAGGGGGAAAGGATGGGCTTTCAGGGGTCATAAGCTCTCAGGAGTCTAAACAAAGTGAGTTCATCTATCCTATACCTGGCCAAGAAGCTCTGTCCTGGGTCAGTGGAATCCCAGAGCACTGAAAGGCAGGCACTGTCCACTTTACAGAATACATCCTCCCTCAGAAAATATCCACTGAGGCACAGGCTCCCAGGCCAACCTTCGAAGGTCTTTGAGTCATTACAGGAAACTGGGACAGAGGTGCGAGGACAAGGAATGGGGGAGACTGGAGAGACAGTAAAGAAAGTTAGGAAAAGGAAGAAAGGAACAGGAAGAGACACCACTATTTCAGCAACATCTTGAAACAAGAACAGTAAGATGAATCCATTTTACGGGCTAAATCCAAGTGCTTTCCAAGATGAGTTTTAAGCAACTGATGTAAAAACTTGTCAAAAACAAGACCTTTCTAATTTGGAGGACTTGTGGTGTGTCTATCTATATACACCATGAAGACACAGTGCCACCGTCATGCAAAAGACACTAGTGGCTTTAGTAGAAGCAGACGCCCAGGACCATTGTCCAAATTTCCCAACCCAGTGACTTCACACAAAACAATGTAAAAGTTCACAGAATCCAGCAACCAAGTTAGTAAAAAGGAACACTCTGTGCCTCTCCCTCTCCCTAATGCTTACATTCACCCTCCCCCCACCCCCATGAGATATGGACCGTGAGGGTTACTAAAAGAAAAGAAAACAAAACAAAAACACACACAGTAGAGACCACACTGTCATTTAGAGCTCTGCTTTTCAGCGCTTGGAAAGGGACTGGCCTCTTCTAGGCACGGTTTAAAAAATTGGCAGGAATTACAAGTATTACACTTTCACGTATTACATTTTCAGTCCATCGTGCAGCAAGCATGTACTGTGCTAAAAATGAAAGCGTTCACCTTCATTTCCACCCAAAGTACAACACTGAGCTCATTAACTGGCTTATATATTGAGATGCTCTTCCCCCCCCCCCCCATTCTGAACAATTACTATTTTCACTCATGGACTTGGGTTTCAGATGCCTTTTCTATACCAACTGTACTTAGGAACCCTCATTCTACACTTCAAATATTCATTCTACATTTCAGCAAACAAAATCTAGGGTTCCTGGGTTCACCAAGATACATTGGGACCAACAGCCAGAAGTCCTGGAAAGTTTTTATTAAATAAAGTCTGTTTTTTAATCTAGTAAATCCCTACAATAGTCCCTCATTCACATGACTAGAAATAACAAAGTATTGTTCTCAAATTTATAAAGTACTTCAAGTGGAGCATCCTCCAAAGTAATTTCTGGGAATTTTCCCAGAGACTCTCTGGTGAGAGCAGCCTAATGACTCAAATGTGCCTTGAACATACACTGTCA